AAAGGAACAAGCACACCCCAAGTCGATCAAGATCGACAACCTACCTGGCGCGTAGCCTGAAGTGTATCCACGCTACGCCAACCCCCAAACCATCCCGCGTCCCGCCAAGACGAGACCAACCTACGGCCAAGCCTCTCATCGAGTCCACCAGAGGAGTGTAGCCAGCCCCGCCGACGGGTACACAAGGTGAGCCCTCAGCAACCCCACGGTTATCGGAGTACCCCCTCCGTCAGTCGGCAGTCCAGGGCACTGTGTGTCTGAGTGGATCGCAACGCGATTTTGCGAATCCCACTCCACCACAAATGCATGCCTTCATGAACTCGTCCCGATCTTTTGCCGACGCAATGGCCATGCCATATTCGTAAATCATGAGCGTCACCGCTGTCCCTCGCGTTGCCACAAGCCACTGATTCCATTCCTGGCGAGACTTGGTGGAGTCTACTACACGTTTCTTCACCTTGAACTGCACAAGTTTAGCCCTGCAAACTGAGGAGTCTGCACCGTCAGTCTTGACTATGTGTCTTCACTCGACCAGAAAACATTTCCCAAACAGCCTCCATAATAGCGTTGAACGACCGTCCAGTAAAAACAGCATCACGCAGTGTTTCAGCTGACGAATCACGCTGATTAATGAACGTCTTCACAATGGGCCGCACGAGTAGTTGATAACGATTGTCAGGGGGTGCTGCAGCTGCCGGCGCTGCCGATGCAGCATCTTCTGTCACCCCTGTAGCTACATGGTTCTCCGAAACAGAATTTGATCCTGTTGCATCAACAGAATCATCCACAAGCCCCGAAGTTTCCCGTGCGCCTGGTGCCCCTGGAGCCTCTGTACCTGGTACTGGTGCAGTAACTTGATCCAAAACATTCACTAACCCCGTCGACGCCTCTGAAGAAGCGGCTTCAGTCACCAATTCATCAGCTTAACCCGCCGGGGCGGCTTGAGCAGGTACTGCAGCAGGGTCAGTTCCCGAGAGACTTGGTTGCCTTGGTACTAGAGTGGCCACTTCCTCACGCGTTGGCGGATGGTCAGGGAGGAGAAGAGGGTCTTCTTGGAGTGGATCGAATGATGCTCGACTTGGCGGACGATATGGAGATGCACGCGGTGCGTGGCCACGCCAGAGCTGAGAGCGCAGCGTCGTCCCCGGGGTGCCGTCAGGGCGCGCACTTGTCATGATTGAAGATGGCGAGTCCGAGGTTTATTCTGTATTAGCGTCAAAATGCATTCTGTATGATAGGCTGCGCGATTGCGCTATTGGGCTGATCGTGTCTCTCAGACGCCCGCGGAAATTTCGAATAGAACGCACAATAATAGGTGAGCACGGCAAGTGTTGTCACTTCTTAAGTATCCTTAAGAAGTAAGATGTCTCAAGCTTTTCTATTGGCTACGTATTTGACCAATTCTTGCGTACCGACGAGAATAAACCCTCGCCGGGATCCACCTCCTCCGGGCGATTCCAGCGCGCGGCTCCTTCGTCTGCGTCGTCTTTTGGGCACAACCGCCCGGCACTACGAGAACGCACCTCTCCCAGCTACAGATCGACGGCCACAAGTATGTCAGCCGCCGTATGGTCTTTTGACACTACGTTGTGTTGTGCTGGTGTTTCGTCACTGAGTAATGCGACCCACCAGTAAACTCCAACGAATGCTAATAAACACAAAAACAACGATACGTTACACGCCACGAGCCAGCTCGAAAGCACTTTAGTGCTGCAGTGCTTCCTCCGAAAAGTACCGCGCTTAGATGTCTGTATGTGCACAGCTACAAGGCCTGGCTAGTGCTACGTGTGTGAGGACTTGGAGTTATTACTG